GAGCAAAAAAAAAAAAAAAAAAATAAAAAGGAAAAAAAAAAAAAAAAAAAAAAAAACATAAATAAAAGAAAACTGGATTTCAATGGATTTCAAGCAAAAAAGAAAAAAACAAATAAAAGAAAACTGGATTTCATTAGGTTTGCAAAAAAAAAATCTAATCAAAACTGAATGTTCTACTGTCCATATTTTGGCTTCTATTGATCATATAATAGCAGAATTTGACATTTTGTAAAATAAATTCACTACAAGCAAACATTCCAATAAAAAAAAACTGAACATTTTTCGACAAAAAGTTTTGGAGGTGGTTTTTAGAAATTGGTTTAATTTTCCAAAACTGCAGTGGAAACGCCACACGATCAACAGTGTTGCAGCTGGCGTAAACCATGAAGAAGACAATGTGGTTGGATGATGATGGCGTGTTTATTTTTTAATGACTTATGGCGTGAACAAACTTATTCATGCCTGATTTTAATTGCATTCAATAACAGGGTTAACGTCTTTCTCCATTAGAACCACAGTTGCAAAATTGTGTTTTTTGACATATTGATGAAGTTTTCTGCACATTTGTAATGGAAACACTGCTAATGTGTGAGTGAGTGAGTGAGTGAGTTAGTTACCTAGAGGGGTGTAACCTAAAACCATGAGAAGGTACTCACATGAGTTTATACACATTGCATGGAGGGTTAACCTCTTCTGCAAGCTGGACCACGAAGTGCAGAACCTCGGTAAATTTTCTGTCTTCTGGTGACTCCAACAAGAAGTCAAACACTGCGTGGATAATGGTGTCTTTCTCCGTTGGACCAGGAAGAGGCAGCAGCAGCATCTCTGCAAGTTGCTTCGGGGTCAGGACCGGCAGAGCTTCCAACTGAGAAAGGAAAAGGGGAAAAAGAAGTGTTTCCAAATGCTTCTTTTCCAAACGCACGAGGGTTTGTTTCTTTAATCCAGCACGCTGACGGCTCCCAGGCTTACCGCAGAGAAATCAGGGTTGAGCTGGTAGAAGTCGATGACAGAGGCAAAGCTCGAGAAGAACCCAAAGTTCAGCTTCACCCATTCTGCACTTTGATTGGCTGAAGAGATGCACTGGGGTCCTGAAAAATGTTGTACAATAAAACATGTTAAGGTACATTTGTCTTTCAATGCTTAAATTGGAAATAAATGCATTTACATATAATACACGAGCATAGGCGTAGGAAGCGGGGGGGATGGGGGGGACA